TTTGAGGTCGACCTCGAGGTCGAGCTTGGGCTATCGGGGACAATCGAGAGTACTATAACAGCTAGATATATAATCAAACGAATCTATTTATAACCGAAACTAAGTTGTACGATGAAGAACACATATAAAGATGAAGAACACATATAGAGGCAAAGGATATCGAGGTATCCTCAGTATCAGTGAGAGCCAATATGTTTTAGTAAGAAGAGAGAGAGAGAGAGATATTATTGCACTTGGTAGAATTGTTGGAGCCCTCTTTACAGGGTATTAATGGCTCCTCTTTTATTGGAGGGAGGAGCCTAAACTTAGTACAAGATACGTTGCGTGATAAAGAAAAGGGGATGCGACAGCCAACTAGCTTTATGACGTGTGCGTGGGCTGATGTCGAGCTGCTCAAACAAACTTAGTCGACCCCGGATACGTTCTTCGGGAACCTTCTGCGTTCGGCGGGGTTTCGGTCGATGTTACCTTGGGCTGGGTGTCGACATATCTTGAGGGAAATGGCCGGCTCGAGACCCCGGACCTCCAGAGTGATCTATCGAAGCGTTTTGCCAATGGGAAGTCGGTCCTCCGATTTCACCGTGCACAACTATGTTAGGATTCTTCTCCTATATAAAGGGGGTCCTTACCATTTTGTAAATTCTCTTGCTTCAGTTACTCCACAAGAAATATAGAAGAACATTTTCCTTTCTCTCTAAAATATTCTCTTGATATTATTGCTCTCGTTTATTACATTCATATTTGTTCTTCATTTATTGCTTATCATTGGCCATAAAGAGCCTTCGCTGATTATTTTGTAACTGTTAGTCCGTCCCAAATTACCCTTGATTGCTCGAGCCCGAGCCCTGGAATCGACCTCGAGGCCCCATATCGACCGGCCCGATGCCCTAATTGACTAGCCTATCGGTTTGATTATAACTCTGCCTTTAGCTCTTATTTCGCTCCTAAGTATCACACATCTAGCATCTACTGCTTAACAACTAGCATAAAAATAGATTACGTATTTTTAGAGTCCCATCAATAAATTTAATTGTTATTACCATTTTTACGGTAAACAATTATCAGGCCAGGTAAAATTATATTCGATATCTTTTATTTCTTTCGTAACTTTTTCTTTTCCAGAATTCATATCTTACTATTTTTTTTAATATATAGATGAAAAATAAAGGTTTATATATATTGTTGTACGAAAGTTCCCACCACAAAGCAGTCTTAAAATAAATAAAAAAATTGCCGCTGCAGGCTTCAGCAATATTTATACCTTTTTGCTTGCTTTTTTTAAAGGTTTTCTCAATGAGTTCGAGTATTGCTTTCTCATTTTTGAACAAATTTTTCCAATAAAGATGTACAGCCAACAAAATGTTGTTCCTCTTTTTTTCCTTTTTCCCAGTAACTCTAAAGATTGTGATTTTCCTCACCTTTCTTATAATTGATGTTTAGTACTGTGTAATAATGTATGTTTGGAGTTACTGATGAGCAATAAAGATTGAGGTCTAAATAATTTTTATTGCTTGCTCAGTATCGATGGAATTTGTTAACACTGGGAGAGAGTGAGCGGAACAATGGCACAGATCATAGAGTATTTAGCCAGTTTAAGAATAATCGTACGTTTCTAACAAGTAACATAGCAAGTTTAAGAGTCACTTAATTTATTAATCCTCTTAATTACTCTTCTTTGTCACTCGGCTACTTCATTTCTTATGAATTTAATGTATACTGAATGTGTAGTTATTTGGAATGTGAAATGTATTTTTTAATTTTTGTTTGTTTATACATATTTAAGCCAAACAAGACACCTTGATTTAGGGAATTGTACTATTTTTGCAATTTTTGTATTGCGCCTTTAATACCTTCCCTGGCTTCCTATTATTTCTCTACTAGCTTCTTTTTTTTCATTTAAAATGTTTGTTCGTGCTTATTAGCGTTTTTCATTAACTTTGTTAATTATTTTATTTCTTCTTTATTAATTCTAATTTGATAATTTGTTTAGGTTACTAACTGAGAGTAAACAAAGAACTAAATTAGTAAAGTGATAAGACAGCGAAGAGGAGAAAGAAGCATGAAGGGGAGAAAATTGATGTGAAGAACTTAGCCACTGGAATCATAAAGTAAAAATACATTTTATATGGACATAGAATACAAATTATTTACAAATATTTCATATGGACATAGAATACAAATTATTCACAAATATAACTGATGCATAGGATACAAGTTATTCACAAATGTAATTCCTACCGAACTTATATCTCCTCACTTTCTCCTTTTATAACTATAACGCTTTCATTTATTTCTCAGAGAGACTGATGATTGGACTTTATGTTTAAACTTTTCTCTCTTCCTGGGCATCTTTTATTTTATTTTATGAAGTTTTATGTTGGATTTGTAGGAGAACTTTCAATAGAAAATAACATAGTTTTCATGGTGTTACCTATGTATAGTTCTTCATAGTTCTATGTATAGAGTTGAAGGTATGGAAATTGCAATCATAGTACCATTGAAAGTGCTTAATATATATGATTTTATTCAATTTTTACAAATAAATTTATATACATATACATACACACACACACACATATATATATATATATACTCCCTCCGTTCCAGTTTATGTGAACCTATTTCCTTTTTGGTCCGTTCCAAAAAGAATGAACCCTTTCTAAATTTGGAAACAATTTAGTTTAGATTTACAATTCTACCATTAATGAGAAGCTTTTATAACCACACAAACACTCTGGGCCCCTTTTTAACTTGTTTAGGACCACAAATTCCAAAAGTCTTCATTTTTTCTTAAACTCCGTGCCCAGTCAAACAGGTTCACATAAATTAAAACAGAGGGGTATATAATAATGACCGCGCGAAGCGCGGACAAATACACTAATTAATAAATAATAACCACTAGGAACCTGCCTAGTGTTATATTAGCTTAAAGAATAAAGACCAATGATAGGAGCTTGAGCTCAGAAGATAGTATGGCCATATTAAATGATATGAATAGGATGCTATTGCTCTCAATTATACCTCGGGGACAACATGGAGTCCAAAAGGGGTCATATATAGTCACAGAGGGAGGGGCACATCTTAATTTGAAATGGCTTCAATGCCGGTCTATTTATGGACTCTTCCCAATGTTACATTGCAATGGATGGTGTCTTACTTGGGGAGTAGCAGTAGAGAGCATTTGCCTTAGAAGGGATTTTCGACTGCATAATTGGGCACGCACCTATTGTATTGGAAAAAATTAAGTTCATATATAAAATTAATTATAAGGTAACATGTTATGACACGTAGACTGGTCAAAAAGCGACAGTTGGCAAACAATAGTTGAAGAGGCACGAGCTTCAAAAGGCACGAGCAGAGATTCAAGAAAATCAGAAAGGATAGATGCTCGAACCTCTTAATATTCAGGAGTCGCATCAGAAGAGTGAACCTAAATAGCAAAAAGGGCATAGATACGTATTATTGGTAATTAATAGGCATTAATTACGGAAAATGTTATGTAATCTGTATTGAATCAGTTATGATTACCAATTATAACGTTACATTAAATGCCATTAATTATCCATAATGACTCCATTATGGAGGGGGGAAAACGTATTACTTAAAAATAGCTATAAAAAGGTGAGGACTGAACATTTGTAAGGACACGAAATACTATTGAAATATACTGATTTACTTTGCTTTCTACTCACCTATTTTTTACATCAATCATTCTTATTTCTATTTGATTATCAGTAACCCAAGTTCTTCTTAAAACAAGATTTGACCGAAATCCCAATTTTTGGTTAAACAAATTGGTTCCGTTACCGGGAATCTGATAATCTACTCTTTTCTAAATTAACCTTTTTGTCAAATCAATCATGTTAAATGTCAATGACAACCATCAAAGAGACCGTCAACTCTAGGAGAATCTGCAAGATGATCGTACGCCGAACCCTTCCCCACGAAACTCTCCTCGACACTCTCGAGAAGGAACTCTTGATGGATCTAAATCAAATGCAAATGATCAATTGGAAAATGATGAGGCAATCAACGAAGCTTTGCAAAAGTTAATCGCTCAACGGGTCAGCAAAGCTCTTGAGGCTTTCGCCAACCAGTTGTCGGTTGTGCCACCAACACCAACTCCAAATAATAATACTTTGGAAAACCCTTGTTCCGGGCTCGTTAATTCAGGCAGTGGTGGAACTCCCAGCGAGTCTCGTGATGGAGAACCAGGTAACATAGTCAATGCTGATTTACAAAATTTAGTATTAACCTTGCAGAAACAGCTTAAGGAGCAAAGCGACCGCATAGAACAAATACCTGGAGTACCGCCTATAATCAAAGGAATAGATATGGACAAATATTCACAACAACCTTTGAAGCCAAGTACTGCTCCTCTCCCAGTTCCGAAGAAATTCAAGATGCCCGATATTCCAAAATATGATGGAACCTCTGATCCACGAGACCACGTGACTACATTCACAATTGGAGTAAAGGGCAACGATTTGATCAAACAAGAAATTGAATCAGTATTGGTCAAAAAATTCGGTGAAACACTCACTAAGGGGGCATTAACATGGTATTCTCTTTTACCCGAAAATTCTATAAATTCTTTTGCTGAGCTTGCAGATTTATTTATTAAACCACACTCGGGAGCTCAAAAAGTCGAAAAAAGAATGGAGGATATTTTCAAAATAAAGCAAGGAGATTCGGAACTGCTCAGAGAGTTCGTAGACAGATTCCAGCATGGAAGGATGATGTTGCCATGCGTACCTGATAATTGGGCAGCCATGGCTTTTACCAGTAATCTAAATGAGAAGAGTTCAGAAACAAAGAGATGACTCAAGGAAAGTCTACGTGAATTTCCAGCAACAACTTGGAATGATGTTTACAACAGATACAGCATGAAGTTGCATATAGAAGAAGATACCATTACTCAGTCTCAAAAATAGGAGAGGGTGAGTTCCAGGTGTGCCGATACTGAAAAACGGTCCGGTAAAAATAGGTACGAGCCCTATATGGGACCCGCAGGAAGAGATTCCCATTCAAAACAGGATAACTCAAGGTATGATCATAGATCGAGAGACAGAGAATCAGGCTCATCATCAAGGTTCAAAAAAGAACGAAACGCACGAGAGACGCATGGTGATGACAGAGGCTCTAAGGCGAAGATCGGCGGTTATAGTTTTAATGTAAGCACGTCCGAATTGGTGGCTGTTTTGAGAAGTATGGGAGACAAGGTACGTTGGCCAAAACAAATGAAATCAAACCCAAACAGACGAAATCCTGATCATTGGTGCGAGTTTCACCACGATCACAGCCACAAAACGGCGGATTGTAGATTGCTGCAAGGTGAAGTTGAACATTTATTGAAACAAGGGTATCTAACTGAATTATTTAGTGATAAAGGAAAGCAGGCATATATGAAAAACAGACAGGAATCCCAAAGACCCCCTTCACCAAAGAGGACGGCTAACATCATCAGCGGGGGAGAAGAAATCAATGGCGTAACTGCAGCCAATAAAGTTTCAAAGATTACAGTTACACACGGGAAGCGAATTCGACGTATTTTAGAAGAACAAAGTATTATGTTTGATGATGCAGATGCAAATGGCGTATTAACCCCACACAATGATGCTCTGGTAACATCTTTACTTGTACATGATACTAATGTGAAACAAGTTTTGATTGATCCAGGCAGTTCCGTGAATATCATTCAATCAAGAGTGGTAAATGAAATGCAAGCTGAAGATAAGTTGATACCCAAGGCGCACACCCTATCTGGTTTCGACAACTCGAGTGTTGTAACCAAGGGGGAGATAGTACTCACCACATTCGCGGAAGGGGTTGTCAAAGACACAAAATTTCAATTAGTAGAGATGGACATGGATTACAATATGATTCTTGGGAGACCATGGATTCACGACATGGATGATGTGCCGTCTACCTTACACCAAGTTGTTAAATTCCCTTCACAGTGGGGAATACGACAAATCCGTGGTGACCAGCAAGCATCCAGGAGTATCAATTCTGTGGTTGATTCAATTGAAGATCATGCAACACAAACCTAAATTGAAAACGGGAGAACAGATGTAGATTTAAGACCCGATACCATCTAAGAGCCAGAGGAAAACGAAAACATCAAAACAACGATTGAGGAAATGGAAGCCGTAGTACTATTCGCACTCTGGCATGGAAGGAAAGTCTACCTTGGGGCCAACCTCAGTTAGGAGATGAAAGGTAAGTTAATTGAATTTTTGAAAACTAACATGGATTGTTTTGCCTGGTCCCATTCTGTTATGACAGGGATACCTCCGGAAGTAATGACCCACAAGTTGAATGAAGATTCATCATATCCACCTGTCAAGCAAAAGAAAAGAAAACAAGGATCTTTTAAAAAGTGGGTCGTTCAAGATGAGGTACAGAAGCTTTTAAAAATTGGGTCCATCCGCGAGGTAAAATATTCAAATTGGTTAGCTAATACGGTAATGGTACCTAAAAAGAATGGTAAGTGGTGAGTTTGTGTGGATTATACTGACCTAAACAAAGCTTGTCCTAAAGATTCTTTTCCATTACCGCATATAGATGAACTAATTGACGCTACTGCAGGTCATGAATTGTTAAGTTTTTTAGATGCGTATTCAGGGTATAATCAAATCAAAATGGATCCCATAGGTGAGGAAAAAACTTCGTTTATAACTGACAGCGGGACTTACTGTTATAAAGTGATGTCATTCGGTCTCAAGAACGCTGGTGCCACATATCAGAGGTTGGTAACTAAAATATTTCAAGAACATTTAGGGAAGACCATGGAAGTGTATATAGATGATATGCTGGTCAAGTCATAACAAGCAGGGGACCACATCCAACACTTATCTGAAACATTTCAGATTCTACGCAAATTCAACATAAAGCTAAACCTCGAAAAATGTGCATTTAGAGTATCGTTAGGTAAGTTTTTGGGTTTGCTTGTTTCTAACCGTGGCATTGAAGTAAATCCCGCACAGATCAAAGCTATTGAGGAAATTCCTGATACACTCACAAGTAAAAAAGAGGTACAGAGATTGACAGGAAGAATAGCAGCCTTAGGAAGATTTATTTCCAAATCCTCAAAAAAATATTTCAGGTTCTTTTCAGCTTTGAAAAAACAGGATCAGTTCGAATGGTCTGAGGCTTGAAGGCAAGCGCTTAAAAATTTGAAGGTGTACCTGTCAAATCCACCGTTGCTCGTAAAGCCAAAAGACGGGGATAAATTACTCATCTATCTCGTTGTTTCAGAAGTAACGGTAAGTGCTGTTTTAGTTCGTGAAGACCAAGGTAAACAATCACCAATTTATTATGTTAGCAAGTCGTTTTTAGATGCTAAGACTCGGTACCCTCATCTAGAGAAACTAGCACTTGCATTAATCATGGCATCTAGAAAATTGAGACCTTATTTTCAATGCCATCCCATCTCTGTAGTAACTACTTACCACCTACATAATATACTGCATAAACAAGAGTTATCAGGTAGATTAGCCAAGTGGGACATAGAACTAAGTGAATATGACATCACGTATCAACCTAGAACTGCTATAAAATCACAGGTGTTAGCAGATTTTGTGGCAGATTTTAGCCAAGGAATGCAACTGGAAGCGGAAAAAGAATTGCAGGTATACAATGGATCCAATCCAGGAACTTGGACTTTATTTACTGATGGTTCCTCAAATATAAAAAGGGCAGGTCTTGGTATTATTTTGGTACCACCAACAGGAGAAATCATACGGCAAGCTATAAAGTGTCACCCCGTCACTAACAACGAGGCAAAATATCAAGCTGTGATTGCAGGTTTAGAACTGGCAAGAGAGCTTGGCATAGAACAGGTTGTAATCAAAAGTGATTCACAGCTCGTAGTTAACCAAATTCTAGGGACTTACACAGCCAGGGAAACAAGAATGCAGCAATACCTGGAGAAGGCACGAGATCTGGTCAGGCAATTCCAAACCTGGAAGGTCATGCAGATACCAAGAGAAGAAAATGTAGAGGCCGACGCCCTAGCTAATCTTGCATCTGCCGCAGAAGTAACAAATAACAAAAATACTTCTGTAATTCACTTATTTCATTATGTACTTGATCAAGACAAAAACGAGGTAAATTTCAATAATTTAACTTGGGATTGGAGGAACGAGATTGTTACTTTTTTGGAGCATGGAATATTGCCTGAAGATAAGAAAAAGGCTCAAGCACTTCGTAGGAAAGCTGCTCGATACTGTTTAAAGCAAGGTAATTTTTATCGTAAAATGTTTGGTGGTCCTCTAGCAAGATGCCTTGGGCCTTCTCAAACAGAATATGTGATGAGGGAAGTACACGAGGGGCATTGTGGAAATCACGCAGGAGGAAGGTCTATAGTGAAAACCATGATTAGAGCCGGTTATTATTGGCCCAAAATGGAAGAAGACGCAGAGAATTTTGTGGCTAAATGTGATAAGTGCCAAAGATATGGTAATAACATGCATAGACCTGCTGAATTGCTACATTCGGTCATTTTCCCGTGGCCTTTCATGAAGTGGGGGATGGATATCGTGGGACCATTACCGCAAGCTAAGGGCAAGGTAAGGTTTTTATTGGTACTCACTGATTATTTTACTAAATGGGTAGAAGCAGGAGCTTTTAAGCAGGTACGAGAAAAAGTGGTCAGAGATTTCATTTGGCGAAACATTATATGCCGATTTGGCATACCAAAGGAAATCGTATGTGATAACGGCCCACAATTTATAGGCACGCAAGTCACGAAATTTTTCCAGAGTTGGCAAATTAAAAGGATTACTTCAACTCCATGCCATCCCATAGGTAATGGACAAGCTGAATCAACGAATAAGGTCATTATCAACAATTTGAAGAAAAGGTTGGAGGAATCTAAAGGTAATTGTCCAGAGGTATTACCTGGAGTTTTGTGGGCTTATCGAACAACCGCCAAAACAAGTACGGGGGAACACCTTTCTCTTTTGTATACGGATCTGAAGCATTAATCCCAGTCCAGATTGGAGAGCCAAACACGAGGTATACACAAACAACTGAAGAGTCAAATAAAGAGGAAATGCGAGTCAATCTGGATTTACTTGAAGAAAAGAGGGAGGCTGCTTTAATAAGGATGGCAGCACAAAAGCAAGTTATTGAACGATACTATAATCGGAAAGCCTGTCTTAGATACTTTAAGATTGGGGACTTCGTACTTAAGAAAGTTTTCCAATCCACAAGGGCGACTAATGCAGGAAAGTTAAGTCCAACTTGGGAAGGACCCTATAAGATTCACGGTATCGCTGGAAAAGGAGCATACGAGCTGGAAACAATGGATGGAATGATTTTACCTTCACATTGGATTGTTGTTCACCTGAAGAGATACTATTTCTAAGGAAAGGAAGTGTCCACGAGCAGGTATCCTCATTTTAAAATTTTATTTTTTAATTGTTAAAATTTTACTAACGATTTTAGATGATGGGCAAAAAGCTAGCCCGTACTAAATGATGAATTACGACCTGCAAGACACGCGGAAAAGAATATAATTTCCGGTCTAGGGTTACAACTATTCTAATAGAAATTTAAAAGGGTTAAGCAGTCTTTATCTAATATCGTACCTCCGTCCCGTTTGTTTTCCCTTTTCAGGAAAAGGACCGCATGAGAGGAATTATCAAGTGCTCGAGACTTCATACTTCAAAGCTCAAATACTTGGGGGACTATATAATATACATATATTATATGTATAAAGAAGGCAAAAAAGACTAAGAATACTCAAAGTTCAAGTCCGAAAGTCTACTCACTGAATGAGTCAAGTTCAGAGCAAAGTTATGAGCCAAACAACACAAAGCCAGTCAAAAAACCTTATAGATTTCAAAAGTTTATGATATCTAGGTTAAAGGCAATGTATAGAAATGGGTTATAAAAAACCCCTTGGATTTTATTTCCTTTTTTGCAAATCTCTTATAAAGAAAACAGTTACGAAAAAGTTGTAGAAGTTCTTTAAATACATGTAAGATGTTATTCAAACTTGACAAAGTTCGAATGAAAACTTTATCAAAGTTATTTCAAGAAACATGTGTGTTCCTATTTCTTTTATCGTATATTTACACCATTATGAAGTTGAGACGTCTTCTTCATTAAGTGTCAAACATAAAAGGGCCCTCTTTTACAAATTCATGTTTAATTCAGATATTCATGAAGCTAACAAAAGGGTAAGGCAAAAACCCATGAACCAATAAATGAGACCTTGAATATAAAGGCAAGAAAATGAGCAAAACGAAAGTTCAAGACAATTAAGTTGAACAAAAAACGTTTTACTATTATAAGTTTAGACTAAGCATGAACCTAGTCGTCAACTAATTGTCATTTATACAAAAATGCCCCGAAAAGGTCTGGGGACTTGTCATTTCTAAAAACTAAACCCCCAAATGGGACCGGGGGTTAAAACCACATACCACCAAAAGAAAAAGAAAAAAGGGTCACACTTCATAAAAACTTTCACTGAGGGGCTGAAGAAGGATCTAAGGCAGGATCAATGGCAGCAGAAGGTTCGAGTTGGCTTGAAGGAGTTGGAGCATCCACTGTACCCATATCATCTTCAATATGTTCATGGGTATCAGCCATAGGAGAAGGAATGTCTTGACCTTGCTGAGTTTTTTCGATAGTCTCTTTTATCTTGGCTAATTCAGCACTCAAGTTGAAACCTTCTTTGCTAGCTTCCACAAGGGTCTCGTGGCGTGTGTTCAAGATTGCACAACTCACTTCAATTGCAGTCTTATCCTCAAGAATCTCATAGTCCTTCTCCCATTGATCAATCTCATTTTTGAGCTTTTCATTCTCAGCCAAGGCGGAATCATAAGAAGCTTGCAGAGGAGCGAGTGAACTTTCTAAAAACCTAACCTTATTAGAAGACTCACGCAGATCTTCTTGGGTTTGAGTAAGTGTTTGCACGAGTTCACCGGCGTAAACCTCTTTCTCACTCAGCAAAGTCTTCAATTCTCTAATCTCTTCACTGGCCTTGGAGAGTTGCACAGAAAAAGACGTCTTGAGGAGATTCTTGTCTTTGTCGGCTTGA